TAAGGTGTCCCCCGAGCGGCCGCCTCCGCGCCCGGCACCATGGAGGGCGCGGGGTCCGCGCGCCGCGCCGCCGGGGCCTGTGTGCACGCGCGGGGCCTCGGGGCTGGCGGGGAGGTAGGTCCGCCGCCGCGCCGCACCCGGCCGCCTGGGCCCGCCGCGCGCGCGGCAGCCAAGGGGTTAAGCGCGAGCCTTAAATATTCATGTCATTGTTTTAAAGGTGTAAACATGTGGCTTCCAGGTCGGCTGCACCGTCCTCGGCCCCGCGCACACACCCCAGCCTCATCCTCCCCAAAGAGCTGGGGTTTTCTTTGAGGTTAAGCCCCCGCGACTTAACGTCTCCTTCCCCTTGGGGTTGCCTTGTGGTGTTTTTAAACTTTCCTGGCCAGGAAGTGTAGGACGATGTCACGTAAAGGAAAGGGACGCTTTGGAGCCCCTTCCCTGCGCTTTGGGTGGAGGGCGTGAGGATTGGCGGTAGGAGAATAGATTCCTTCCGAAATGCGGTTTTCCCGTTTTATACCGGGCGGAGGTGAGGCACTGTTAAATGCAAGAAAGTTTTTGCGAGGGAATTTGCTGTTTCAAACCTTTCTTACAAGATGAGTTGTAATTTCGCACTTTTCCCCAAACTAAAATGATTCCAATTTCCCATCTCCGTTTACTGGCTTGGCTCACACTGCTCTTCAGAGAAGTTTGGTTTCTTTGAATGATATTTGAAATCCGTGTGTGTAGTTTCCCGCTGAAATCATTGCTCATGTCATGTCTGTGACGCCGATTGGATTACTGCCCAAATTTGGGCTTTGTGAAATTTATTTTAAATGAGTGATGTGCTTCCTGGGGGATGGAAACTCTATAAATGGGAGTTATGTTCTCAATCATAAATTTTATAGGAGAAACCGGCCCTAAAACTTGGGGTGTCTGTAATCCCGTGCCCAATAAAGCATCAGTCAACAAGTTTGTAAACCCCGGGAGCACTTACTGAGTTTTGATTTAGATGGAAGGCTACAAACAGAAGAGCTTGTTCAGAAATGCAGTGGTGGTACCTAGTACCGCACATTTCGTGTGATACTGTTTCATTTTGTAATGAGCTAGTAACACAAAGTACTGTGTTCTGTCACGAGCATGTGTACTGGTTTGTTGGGCAGGATGTTTGCTTTCTAAGAACGCTAAAAACATCAGAGAACTTTGCAGATACTCTCATGGACACAGACCTTACTGTGTTTCAGAGCCATTGGAAGTGTTTGGGTGTGTTTGTGGTTGCAAGAAGTGTACATCCGTGACTCCTCCCATCCGGTTCAGAGGGAGACCTCAGTATCTTCAAGAGCATCACAGGACATGATGGTGTACACCTTTAATCCTAGCACTGTGAAGGCAAAGGCATGAGCATCTCTGTGAGGCCAGTGTGGTCTACAGAGTGAATTCTAGGACAGCCAAAACTATGTGGAGGGACCAAGTCTCAATTAAAAAAAAAAAAAAAAAGATGCATTTGTCTGCCCCCCCTCCCCCCACTTCCCATCTGCAGTTTCAGGTGTTTTACTATTCTGTGTAAGAGAGCAAAAGGCAGCTGCAAGTTTTCCAGAAAGCCACTGTAGCTAGGACCTCCGCTTTCTAAAGCATAGAACTTTCAGGCTGACAAATTGTGAGCTCCAGTTCTCTTAGGCCTGCTCCCTAGAACAGCTTTGGAGCATTAACTGCCTGAGTGGCAGGAGTCACGTGAGCCTGCCCTTGGAGCCACCTGTGTAACACACTCCCTGTCAGGCCTTCCATAGGTACCCATGATGGTGTTAGCTGTTACTCAGCGTATGTCTTACCCTGACTAACAGTATTTCCCTCTGCTCTGGGCAATTCTGGCCCAGGAACCTTTCCCTATTCATTCACTTGATTCTTGACGAATACCAGTTCCGTCTTTTTTAACAGTGACTTTTTGTGTTTTGGTGGCACCTAGGTGGATCACGAGTAGAAAGCCCAGTGGATCGAGAGAGAGGGCGGGGAGGGGCTGAACTGTGAAGAGTGCAGCCCCAGAACCATGTCTACTCGGGAGTCCTTTAACCCGGAAAGTTATGAATTGGACAAGAGCTTCCGGCTAACCAGGTTTACCGAACTGAAAGGCACAGGCTGCAAAGTGCCCCAAGATGTCTTACAGAAATTGCTGGAATCTTTACAAGAGAACCACTTCCAAGAGGATGAGCAGTTTCTGGGAGCTGTGATGCCACGGCTTGGTATGTATGCGTCGCTTACTCTAACACCCAGAAGTGTGGGCTACAGTCAACAACCAGACTTCTCGAGTTCTGGCAGGGTCTCAATGTCCAGCGTAACTGTTAATGTTACTTGTCTAAAGGAAGAATTGGAAAAGCATCAGGGCACGTGGTTGGTAGGTTTTAAATTATAGAGTATATATATGACATCATTACACTATAGTAAGACATAGTCTACTAATTTTTTTGGTCAGCTGAGAATAAGCAGAAACTCCTTTCTGCTCTTTCTCTCATGGCCTCTATAGTGCTCTGTTCTCTTCATTGCCCTAGTGAAGGTATTGCCTTTAGTATTCTAAAAACAGCTTTAAGGGTAGTGACTGGGCCTTTGCAGGATGCATGGGTTAAAACGTTGTGGGTGGGCCACAGCAGACTGCTGCACACCCAGGAGAGAAGGATGGAGAAACAGCTCAGTTGGTAAAGTTTGAGGACCTTAGTGAATTTGATCCCCTGAACCCATGTCTTTAAAAAAAAGCAAAAAAAAAAAAAAAAAAAAAGTGTGGTGGAGCATGCTTATATTCCCAGCGCTGGAGAAGACATGTGCTCCTAGGGCTTGCTGGCCTAGCTTACGTGCTAATTCCCAAGCCAGTGACAGAGTGTCTCAAAAGAAGGTGAACCATTGCTGAGAAGTGACAGCCGAGACAGTACAATCTGTGCACAGACATGCATCTGTACCGATACACCTCATCCAAACACACACACAAGAGAGAGGACGGCATGGATTTGAGGCTGACCCCAGAATGCCGAGTGGCACGGAGGCCGCTGTTGCTTTCTTTTCTAAATTCTTTGTATCATTAGTGGTTTCCCTTTCCCAAACACAGAGCTCAGAAGAAATTGTAGGCTCTGAGATCCAGTCCGCTGGGTGTATTTGATTACGCGAGTGATGAGATGACAGAACCTTGGGAGTGTGTTCTGTGGTTGGATGTCCTGCAGTCACAGAGCGACTTGAGTTTTCTTACCGGAGGTTTTTATTTTTGCTCATGGCTTTGTTGTGAAATCTTGACTTAGCAGTGGCTATTGCACTGAAGCATTCCTTTCTTCCGGGAATGTAAAGCAGACAGTAAAAACAGAGCTGCTTTGGTTGAAAGGAAAATAGAAACCCCTAGACAGAAAAGCAGGTAGAAGAATCCAGCACTGGTCTGATTACACAGAGCTTTTCTTTCTGTCTTTCTTTTTTTTAAATATGTGTGCATGAGTGTTTCCCTTGCATGTATGTATGTGTACCACGTGCACGCCTGGTACTCAAGAACCTCAGAAGATAGCATTGAATCCCTTGGAACTAGAGTCACAGACAGCTGCCATGTGGATGCTGGGAATCAAACCTGGGTCCTCTGGAAAGGCAGCTAATGCTCTTAGCTGCTGAGTCATCTTTCTGGTCCCCCACACAGAACTTCTGAGAAGTAAATAAAGTCTATCTTTTCCTCAGAGTAAGTATAAATCCCCGCAATGTTATCCTAGGGTGATCTCCACCCCAGGGGTAGGAGTCCCCACCCCTGTCCCCAAGATAGGGTCTTGATATATAGTCCCGGCTGTTGGATCTCACTATGTAGACCTGACTGGCCTCAGACTCACAGAGAGCCACCTGCCTCTTCCTTCCAAGTGCTGGGATTAAAGGTGTGTGCCATCACTGCCCTTCTACAGCTGGATCTTATGGAGACCTTTTCTTTTCTTCCCTGCGCCCCCCCCCCCCCCCCCCATCCTGGACCCACTTTGTAGATCAGGCTAGCCTCAAACTTACCTGACTCCTGGACCACTGGGATCAAAGGTGTGCCCCACCACGCCCAGTTTATGGAGGCATTTTCTTAATTCCCTCCTCGCAGATGACTTTAGCTAGTGTCAAGTTGATCTAAAACCAACGAGGACAGTAGAAGAATGAAGAGCTAGAGAGGCAGCTTAGTAGATAAAATATCAGTAGCATAAGTGTGAGGACCTGAGTCTGGATCCCAGCAGCCATGTAAAAGCTGGCATCCCACTCCTGTCTCCAACCCACCGTGGGGGTGAGGGGTGTCCCAGCCAGTCTCTGAGTCTGAGCTCTCAGTTCAGTGAGAGACCCTGTCTTAAAGACAAAGTGCAGAGTAATGGAAGACATCCTGATGTCAGCCTCTGGCCGTCACAGGCACGGGCACAGGTGAAGACACACACACATTGTTGAAAGTAGGCGTTTCTTAGAACTAGGCATTTGTTTCTGTACTTGGAAGCTGTCAAGCATGGGTTATTGGCTCTGTAGAATGATGAGTGTGCTCTTTTATTCTTTCCTTCTTCTGTTTTTATTTATTTATTTTTGGATTTTCAAGACAGGGTTTCTCTGTGTAGCCCTGGCTATCCTGGGACTTGCTCTGTAGACCAAGCTGGACTCAAAACCAGAGATCCTCCTGCCTCTGCCTCCTGAGTGCTGGGATTAAAGGCGTGCTGCACCCCCCCACCCAAGAAAGTGTGTTCTTTTTTTGATAGAAGGTTCAGTCTTTAAGCAGGCCTTAGTGGTTCTGGCCGCTTACTCAACTTACCAAGGTCTCTCTCACCTTAGTGCTTCACACATTGTGGCCCCATGTGTTCAAATGTGACCCGCCATGTGTTTGTGAGGAAAATCACCCTGGAATGCAGCCTCGCTCGTGTGTGAACATATTATCTATGGCTGCTTTGGTGAGAGTGGAGTAGAAGAAGCCTGGATTACTTACTGTTTGTCCCTTATGGCAGAAGTCCTAGTTTGTCCGAGTTTACCTTCCTGTCGCTGTGATAGATACCATAAGCAAAAGCAACCTTGGGAGGGAGGATTTATATGGGTGTCCCTCATCAACAGGAGCCGCGGAGGAGGAATGCTGCATGCTGCCCTGCTTCCCACACCCCACCTTCCTGCTTGCTCAGCTAGCTTTTTTTCAGCTGGCCCCAGGGCCCCGGCTTAGTGATGACGCCACCCACAGTGGCTCAGCCCTCCTATGTCAGTTAGTTAACAACCTCCCAAATATGCCCACTAGGCCAGTCTGCTGGAGGCAACTCCTTAATTGAATTTCTCTCTCCCTGGCTGTGTCTGGGTTTTTGTCATGTTGACAAAAACTAACTAGCACGTTGTCAACCATAATCTAGGGCTGGCAGTCTTTTTAATAAGATCCTGACCTTCCAAAAGACTTTTACAGCATCAGATTAACCATATCTACTAAGTCCCCAACTTGCCCACTCCAGGGAGCCTCAGGAAGTAATTTCAAACCACATACTATATAGTACAGTGCTGTCTAAAAGAAATATAATGGGCTCACATCTGGCCATTAGCTGGAGCTAAATTGCTTGTGTCTAGATTCGGTGAGAGGCCTTGTCTCAAAAATCAAAAAATAAGATGAGTAAGATTGGGGAAAGAAACTAGTTGTTGGCCTTTGCCTGTGGGTGCATACACGTTCACATGCAAAATATATAGAAATACACAAAGGTGTAAAAGTGCTTTGGGGAAACTAAAACAAAGAACTGAATTATACGGGTACTGCGTATTTGAGTACACACTTGGTTGGAAACTTTGAAGTCCTACTTTGTTCTTTACCACTTCATTTAGGCTAAATATAATACTGACTGGAAACTTCTTTATAAGAATATAGTACAGTGGAGATAACTTAGGACCCCTGCACAGATGTAGCCCATGATAGTTTAGTGTCTAAGTGGGTTATATAGTTAGTAATGGGAAGAGGGACTGCCTCTGACATAAACTGATTGGCCTGCTCTTTGATCACCTCCCCCTGAGAGGGGAGCAGCCTTACCAGGCCACAGAAGATGACAATATAGCCACTCCTGATGAGACCTGATAGACTAGGGTCAGAGGGGAGGAGGGAGGGGCTTATGGGGGGATACAAAGTGAATAAAGTGTAAATAATAATAATAAAAAAAACCCTCTATCATTCTCCTCTCAGATGTTTTCTGTGTAATTCCAAGATTAAAGCCAATCTACTTCCTAGATCTACAAATCTGGAAAATAATTCATTTACTATAATAAACATCCCTCTATTAAAAAAAAAAAAAGAATATAGTACAAATACTGTTTGATGAAATAGAATAATAACTAGGTGTTAATGGCATCTAGCATCTGGGTAATTCATGTCTCAAAATAGCTATCAATAAAATAACAACAATTCCATTTGTACTGTGTCACCTTCAAAGAAATTCGGTATAAGCCAGGTTGTGGTGGCACATGCCTTTATTTCTAGCACTTGGTAGACAGAGACAGTCTGATCTCAGAGTTTGAGTTTGAGGCCAGCCTGGTCTATATTGTGAATCTAGAATAGCCAGGGCTAAATAGAGAGGCTGTCTAAAATTAAATACATACATACATACATACATATATACATACATACATACATACATACATACATACATACATACATACATACATGATTCAGGAATATAAAATAATACAAGAAAACAAAACGTTAAAAACTACAGTAAGTTTCAGATTTTATGCCATCTTGCAGTCTTGGTGACTAACAATATTATTCATGTTTTCTATCCTATGCTGGTTATGATTCATATTTATTTCTGTTATGCTTCCTGATAGCACACATATAGTTTGGTTGGCAGTGTGGAATTTGCTGTCTTATTGCTCAAAGCGCTGCTCAGACAGGATTAAATGCTTTTCTTTTCTCCTTTTATTTTTTGGGGCTGGCAATGTACACCTTGTCAGGTATTGGGATGGATACTTGCGTCATTCCTTTGAGGCATGGTGGTCTCTCCTTGGTTCAAACCACAGATTACATTTACCCCATTGTCGACGACCCTTACATGATGGTAAGTTTGACCTTGTGTATTTTTGTAATTGGAAACTAATTTATGTGTTTGGTTTGGGTTTGGTTCTTGTGTTTGTATTGTGTGTTTCCACTTTTGCTGAGGCCACATTATATTACCATACCCTGACTCTTGAAGTCATGGCAGGCTGACCTGTCTGTCTCCTCTCGCACTTGACCCATCATGAACCAAGTGGCGCAGGGAGGTCTCTCTGCTTCTTTATACCTGAGTCTGCATAACAAACAGCATTTATTGTTTTGAGAGAATGCTAGTCGGTGATGTTCCCTGTGATGTTCTCTGCTTTCTTTCCTTGTACCTGTCTCTCTCTGACATTTGTCAAGTTTACTGCTCCTATGTTTCTAGCTGGAAATGCTGCAGTACTTTGTAATAACACTGATTCTAAATGTTTCCTCCCACAAATAAAGGAGCTTGGGAATCTCCTCACAGTGGGACTTCACCAAGGCAGTATTTCTTTGTGTATCCCTGGCTGTCCTGGAACTCTGCGCACAGCCTCACACTCAGACCCCCAACCCCAATCCCACCACACCCTCATGCTGGGATGAAAGGTGTGTGCCACCATGCCTGGCTCACTTACAGTTGAACTTCTTGAACTTTCATTCTTGTAAATGTTAGAGTAAACTGTTTATCACCTCCCCGGCCACCTGCATGCCTACTCACCACTGTATTTGAACATTGATCTCAAAGTCTAGCTGCTGGGGCAGGGAGATGGTGCACTGGGAAAAGCACTTCCTTCCCACGTAAGCGAGAAGCCCCCAGGGCCAAGTGAAAAGCTGAGCATGGCAGCACACACCTCCAGTCCTGATGCTGAGAGCAGAGGCAGGAGGATTCCTAGGACCTGCTGGCTAGCCAGTTTCCAGGTTCAGTAAGAGACCTTGTCTTAGAAAATACGGTAGAGGGTAACTGAGGAAGACGACCCCTGTGTGCGTGCACATACACACGGAGTTCTGCCTCCTGTCATGCTCTGTGTAGACACATTTTCCAGTAATTTGTTACATACTTACGTCCTTTTAATCTGCACAATCTGTAACGAGCTTCTCTACTAACCAAGAGAAGCCAGTGAAGAAATGGGAATGTCCCACTTGTTTAGAAATGCCAGCTGGCCATCCTGGGTGGCAAGGACACTGGGCTCAGGCTTTCCAGGTAGGAACTCAGGCCATGGGGTAAGAAAAATGAGGACCCTTCCCTGTTAGGTACAGTGTGAATAAACAGGTTATTAGAGAGAATATTCTCTATGAAGCTGCACAAGTGGCAAATTTGCCCAGAATCTATCTTTTTCTAGTGTCTCTTAAAAGCGTGCAAGAGCAGCAAATTCATGTCTGCCCCAGGGCCTATGGTGCGACCTCTGGGCTTGCTGATGTTGACAGTGGGTCTACAGAAAGCTGCAGAGCTGCCTGGAATTCATAAGAAGATAATCAGTCACTGAAAATGATGTCTTGCTTATCATAAGCAATCAACAGAAGATAATGTTGATTATCTTATCCTTCTGTCAGAAGAAAACCTTGTTACTTTTCTCTTTACTGTCTATAAAAAAGATAATTTAGACAATGACAACATTTTAAAAACCTTTCAGAGCAATAGAGTCTTTATTACCACATTCCTATTGGTTGTTTAAATTCCTCATAAAGCGATAGAATTTACTGGGAAATGCTTTCTTCAATCTTACTTTAGGCCTGTATCTTTCTTATTTCTCCTGTTTTTGTTTTCTGTTTATTTCTTACAGCTTTAAAAAGAAGTTGCAAAAGTTTCTTAATCCAACAACATAAAAACCATCTCTTATTCTATAACCAGCTGAGGCAACAGTTCCTGTGGTCTGCAGAGTGCGGGCTTCCACGTTTGGCTTTAAGGGACTGAATCATGCTTCTTGTTCCCTGGTCTCTTCAAGGCCGTCCATGCTAACTGCTTCTCTTGCTCATCACCCCCACCTCCCATCTTTTGCCAGGGCCCTGAAACTTAGGCTGGGAAAGAATGTGAATTCTTTGTTTTGCTCAAGTAAGAGGAGCGGGTGGCCTGACAGCTGAGTGAAGGTGAGCAGCTGAGAGTCACATCCTGGGAGCTGCCCTTCCTGGAAAGTCCCAGGTTCTTAGAGGCCACTGCTTCGTAGGCTCCATCTTTGTTTCTACAGATGGAAAATCCCTGGCTGTGCTTTCTCACGTCTCTGCTCTCTTCCTAGGGCAGGATAGCATGTGCCAATGTCCTCAGTGACCTTTATGCAATGGGCGTCACAGAATGTGACAATATGCTGATGCTCCTTGGAGTCAGTAATAAAATGACTGACAGGGTAAGTCAGAGGTTCACTCACTGGTCTTTGGTTTAACTTTGCGTTTACAAACATGGCCGCAGTATTGCAGCTCTCCACCTTTGGGCATTTATCTGTAAGTTAAAATGGGAGTGCCTGTCCTGTTTCTTTTCTCTTTTTGGGTGGACAGAAAGCTAGTTCTCTCTCTCTCTCTCTTTTTTCTTTTTTTAATGTGAGGGGAGACCTAAAGCTTAGCTGTATTAATAGTACCTTAGTGCCAAACCTGTGGATCATGTGGATCAGGCACTGTCTTGCTGGTTCAGAACTCATGATGCTCAAGTAGTATGCAGTCTGTTGGGGGCCGTGGTCCTCATGCTTTCACGTGCTCATGTTGCTGTTACTGCCTGGCGCTCTGTCCTTTTTCCTAGTCTTTGAACAGGGGATGAATTCCTATTTATGTTGTTTATATTTATTTTTATTTTATGTGCATGAGTATTTGCCAGCATCTATGTAAGTATACCATGTGTATGCCTGGGACTGGAGCTAGAAATAGTTGTGAGCTGCCATGTGGGTGCTGGGAACCAAACTCTCTGTAAGAGAAGCCATGATCTCAACCATTGATCCATCTCTCCGGCCCCATTACTTTGGTTATTTTTGACAAGATGTGTTTTTATTTCTTTTCTCTTTCCACCCTCCCCCCATCAGTTTGTCATAGTTTACTGATAACCCTGTTTTCTGTGGTCTTTTTTTTCCCCTAGCAGTTTGTTCTTTGACCAGAAGTACCTAGTTGTCTCAGCAAGAGCTTTGCTGGGGATGTGTTACTTCACATTTCTAAGCCAGTCTTCCCACTTCTTGCCAAGCATAAGCCTCTTTGAAAATTGGACTATGTCTGTGTAGTTAGCTTGTCTGCTGTTTTTCTAATCGTTATCAGTCTCTGGGCCAGGCCTATGGGCAAATGGCATATTATACCCACTATTCTCTTATCTGGGCTTCATTCACTTTGTAACCCAGAACACCTTCCAGTATTTGATAACATGCTTACAGCAGGAAGTTTTGTTGAACCCACCCTGTCTGTCAGCTTTAGCTGACAGTTTTTTGTCTTTTTATAACTGTACATACAAAACCATCCTTTCTGGGTTTATGAACAGAATTGTGTGACTTTTCATCTGTGTCCTTTTAAACCCTAGGAAAGGGATAAAGTGATACCGCTAATTATACAGGGTTTTAAAGATGCGGCAGAGGAAGCAGGAACCTCTGTAACGGGTGGCCAAACGGTGTTAAACCCCTGGATTGTTCTGGGAGGAGTCGCCACGACTGTCTGCCAGCCCAATGAATTTATCATGTAAGTTGGCTTTTGTTTCATGAAATCATTTTTCTCTCATTCTCTCTAAAAATAAGATATATTAAAGTGTCCTTCACTTGCTATACAGTTCATCCATTTAAAGTGTGCAGTTGAGTGGGTTTTGGCCTATGCAGAGTATAGAATCACTGGAGTCCCTTACAACACTTTAATCACCCTGAGCAGAAACTCTCCCATTCAGTTATCACTTGCTAGTCCTTCAGATACATCTTGGTTGGTTTCACTTTGTATATTAGAAAGTATTTTTATATTCATAGGTTTTGAAGCATACATCAATACTTTGATTCTATTGTTTGTTTGTTTGTTTGTTTTTTAAGATTTATTATTTATACAGCATTCTGCCTCCATGTGTGCCTGCGCACCAGAAGAGGGCACCAGATCTTACCATAGATGGTTGCAAGCCACCGTGTGGTTGCTGGGAATTGAACTCAGGACGTTTGGAAGAACAGCCAGTGTTCTTAATCTCTGAGCCATCTCTCCAGCTTTGATTCTGTTCTTGAGCAGTTTCAGACTTTGTAAATTTCACTTGATAAAGAGATACTATGTTATTTAGCCTTTTATTTGTATAATTTTTGGTTTGGTTTTTGAGATGAGATGTCCTTCAGTACCTCAATCCTATGCCTGAGCAGTTTCAGACTTTGTAAATTTCACTTGACAAAAACATGTTATTCAGCATTTTATTTGTCTATTTGTTGCTTTGGCTTTTGAGACAGGGTGTCACTCTGTATTTCATGCTGACCTCAAACTCCTCGGCGCAGTAATTGCAGTAAGGGCCTCTTCCACAGCTTTTGGTGTGGTTGTCTTTATTGAGTGCTTGGAGTTGAACACAGCTTCTTGTGTCTGCTAAGCATGTCCTGCACCACTGAGCTCCACCTCTGTGTCAGCATTTTAAGTGTGCAGTTCACTGATTTTGTGAGTATAGACTTGAAGTAATCGTCACCCTGTGCAGTGCCCAGAACATTCGCATCCCTCACAGCAAACCTGTCTGCGTTAGCAGATACTTCAGTTTCCTCCTCCCCGAGTGCTCTGGAGACCTATAAGCTACCTGTTGTCTGTAAGGATTTGCTTGTTCTGAGCACTTTATATAAATGGAACCATGCTCTGTAAAACACTTTTATCTGGCTTTATTCGCCTATCATGTCAAGTTGTAGCATAAATCCATAGTGCTTTTTTGTTGTTCTTTTTAATGTTTTGTTTTGTTTTATTTTTCGAGACAGTGTTTCTTTGTGTAGCCCTGGCTGTCCAAGAACTTGCTCTGTAGACCAGGCTGGCCTCCAACTCACAAGAGATCCACCTTCCTCTGCCTCCCGAGTGCTAGGATTAAAAGTGCCACCACCACCTGTATCCACAGTGCCTTTTTATGGCCTAATAAGCTATTGTTTGTCTATATCACAGGTCTGTCCATTGATTGGTGGGCTTTCAAGTTATTATTATTTAATAATAATAGTAATAGTTGTCCTATTATTACAAACACCCTTTAGGTGCACTTTAGTTTTGGTTTTTGGTTTGTTTGTTTTTGTATGTACAGGCACAAGTTATCTACATCCCCTCAAGAAGTTGTTTTATGATGTCTATTCTCATTCTGGTCATAGACAGCATAGTGAGTATAAGTCTTAGGGTTGTTATTGCTGCAGGGAAACACCGTAGCCAAAAGCAAGTTGGGAAGGAAAGGGTTTGTTCAGTTCTAGATCTCAGTCCATCATTGGAGGAAGTCAGGTCAGAAACTCAAGCATGGCTGGAACTTAGAGGCAGGAACTGATGCAGAGGCCATGGAGGGTGCTGTGTACTGGCCTGCTTTCCATGGCTCACTCAGGACACAGGACCACCAGCCCAGGGAAGGCACCACCCACCATGGGTTAGGCCCTCAATTGACTTACATTGGATCTCATGGAGGCATTTTCTCAACTGAGGCGCCTTCCTCTCTGGTGACTCTAACTTGTGTCAAGTTGGCACACTAAACCATCCAGTACAGTGACATTTCGTTGTGGCTTTGATTTGTGTTTCCTTGATAACTGGTGATGGCGAGCATCATGACTCACAGCTTTCTTTGGATCTTCTCTGTATTCTTTGGAGGAGGATTTCAACACAGATTGTCACTTTCTGTGTTTGATGTTAAGAAAAGGCACCCTAGCCAGGTGTTGTGGCACACATGTAATCCCAGCACTTGCGAAGGCAGAAGCAGGTAGATCTCTGCGAGTTCGAGGCCAGCCTGGTCTACAAACCGAGTCCAGGACAGCCAGGGCTACATAGAGAAACCCTGTCTCAAAAAAAGAAAGAAAAGGCACTTTGTCCTATTTTTGAAGTCAATAGAAATTTTATTTGCTTTACATTTCATTCACTTATTTATTTGCGTTTGTCGTGGGAGACAGCTTTCAGGAGCTGATTTTTCTCTCCTATCAGGTGAGTCCTAGGGATTGAACCCAGGTCCTAAGAGTTGCTGGCAAATACTTTTAGCCACTGAGCCATCTTGCTGACCCTTGCTTCAGGTTTTGATTAGTCACCAGAAGGTACTATGTTAACCTGGGTCAGAGTTCAAAAGGTGCACAAAGAATTTATGGTACAGGGGCCTGATCTGTGCTGAGGCGCAGGTTTCCCATCACGGGCACCCTCTCACTAGTTTTATGTATTCATATTTGATTATGTGTGGTTTTGTTGGTGCTATGACTAAGGCTCCAAGAGTAACCTTAGAGCAAATCACTGGGACTAGTTCTAGGAAGCCCTAGGTCAGGTGGAGTGCCTATAATGCTGGCTCTAGCAGTCTCCACTCCACAGCGGTGAACTATGAAGCCAGATTCCCCAAGCTTGATTGACACTGGCTTTACAGACTTAATCTTTGCCTTTGTGGTTTGTGCTTGTTTGTTTTTCCAGTACTAGGGAGTTGAACCCCAGACCTCGTGTGTGGCAACAGCTCTGCTGTTGAGCCCCATCCCCGGCCCTCTCTCTTTCTCTCTCTACTCTCCCTCCCTCTCTCCCTCCCTCTCCCTCTAAATTGCTATTTAGGGCTGCTGTCTAAATCAGGCTTTGCTCTTTCTGCCTCAGTCTTCCAAGCAACTGAGATGATAGTGGCTAGCACCGGGCCCAGCGTCTGTGGGGTGGTTTGAATCTTGCTCATAAGCATAAAGTTGAGCACATTGTTTACATTTCACCAGTGTTAATTTGTGGAAGCATCCTGCATCTCAGCTGGGGGAAGCTTCCTCTTCCTGATAGATGGCATATGTGGGGCACACATCTCCAGCAGCCACATAGAAGCTGGGTGTTGACAGTGCTCACCTGTAATCCCAGCAGGGGAGGCAGACACAGGCAAGTCCTAGGCTCACTAGCCAGCCAATCTGCCCAAAATGGTGAGTCCTGGGCGCAGTGAAAGACCTTGTTTCAAAAAACTAAGGAGGAAAAAGATTGACGATAACACCCAAAACTGACTTCTAGCTTCTACCTAACCCACACATATGTGCATTCATACATACATACACACACCAAAGAGAAGTTCAAAACCATTTTTTAAACAAGCTTCTCCTTTTTGCGTCAGTAATGTGTTTGTGTCCTTGGTTAGTCTGACTAGAGCATGCTCTTTTTTTCTTTTCTTCAGGCCAGATAATGCAGTACCAGGGGACGTGCTGGTATTGACAAAGCCCCTGGGGACACAGGTAGCAGTAGCTGTGCACCAGTGGCTGGATATTGTAAGTATAGAGCTGCTCAGGAATGGGGTTGCAGGGAGATGGGGGTGGTCTGCAGACAGCCTTCAGGCTTGCCTTTTTAGTGTCAGAGTGTTTTCTTTTTAAATGGGGGGAGAGGTTGGGAAGTAAAACTTTAAATTTTACCCCTGTAAGGTTACGGGAAGTCCTTTGTTGAATCATCCATACTCTCACAAAGGGAAATGTCATCTATCTACTGTTTGAAGGAGGCTTTAAGGCCCAGCCTGAGGGTCAGATTCTGTGGACAGGAATTAATAGGGTCAGGTGCTGACATGTTAGTCGTAGAGTTTCGGATTGCTGTGATATGCTAGCGTTGTCTTCACGTTGACTCGTAACTAAGAGCATTTAGATGTAAGTCTTGAGCAGAGGGAATAGAAGGGTATTTCTCCTAAGTATTATCCCACTGGGCTATCTTTTTTTTGTTTGTTTTTTGTTTTTTTGTTTTGCTTTTGTTTTTTGTTTGTTTGTTTGTTTGTTTTTTGTTTTGTTTTGTTTTTCTTTTTGTCACAACAGTTTACAAGGACTAAGATTTTGCTGTGTCCTCACATATCATGGTATGTTTAATTTCCGAAGCTATCATCTGTAACTACCTTGAGAAATAGTTGAGAAAAAAATATAAAGAATAATAAAGACATATAATTTTTCAGCCAAGTATCTTGGCTTGATTTAGCCCCTAAGAAATCTCAGAGCTAGAGTGATGTCTCAGCAGTTGAGAGCCCTGGCTACTCTTCTAGAAGGCCTAGGTTCTCTTCTCTGCACCCAAGTGGTGGTGAAGTTTCAGGGGGATCTGGTGCCCTCTTCTGGCCTCTCTGGAGACTGCACACATGTGGTGCATAGACATACCTGTAAGCAAAACATCCACATACATAAAATATAAAAAAATAAATCTTGCAGGGCAGTGGTGGTGCACACCTTCAATCCCAGCACTCAGGAGGCTGAGGGAGGTGGATCTTTGTGAGTTTGAGGCCAGCCTACAGAGAGTTCCAGGACAGCCAAAGCTACATAGAGAAACCCTGTCTTGGAAAAAAAAAAAAACAACAAAAAAACCAATAAACAAAATGAATAATACTAAAATCTTTTTAAAATTTTTGTTTTAATCTCAAAGGTGACCATTTGTTCACATCTTTTCCCCATTTCCTAGTCATGTAAAACATTCTGGAAAGCTGCTATGGGGATTGTCCACAGAATGCTGAACAGCATGACTGCTTAGCCTGCCTGGTCTTGTAGAGGGTCTAGATGTAGGGCAGGCGTGAGTGTCAAGAATGAGGGCGCCAGGGCCTTCCAGTCTCTACTTCTGCTTCACACACCATTGCTTTATTACTTATTTTTGGCAAATTCTCAGAATTTTAAAAAGCAAGTTCCAAATACAATGTAATAGCATAAGATTTTGTTGCATTCTTTAAATAAAGGTTAGAGGCCATCGTCATAGAGTATTAGAATCCATGGTCTGAGGATACTGGGTTTTGACAACAGAGAATAATGGGTACAGACATCAGACTGAAGTTACTTCTGGAGAGAAGGAATCGTGGGCACGGTGGACAGAAGTTGCTATTAATGTCCAGCAGTGGGTAGGCAGCTTTGGGTTTTGTGGTGCTGGGCACCAAACAGCCTCACACGTGCTCAGCAGGCTCTACCACTAAGTACTGACCCCAGCACCTTGGATATTGTTTACTGTGTTCAAGACAGGTAAGTGAACACATGAGTCAGAGAGCAGTTAGTAATCTGTGTTATCTTTGTGCCATGAACCTTATATCATGGTGTTAGGTTCTTTGAAAATCAGACAAAGACCTTTTTGTCCCTTTGATGACCTCATTTGCTCACCCAAGGCTGTCCTCAGCATGGAAAGTTGAAATTTCACATCAGGATAACTTCACAGCAGGAGTCCATTAAAGTACAAAGGTATAACATAAAAATGGAAGCCATCACCTAGTAGAGAGAATGAGGAATAGAGCCAATGGCATGGAGACAGTTCTGTTCTGTTCTTACAGTGCTCACGGTTTTGTGAATTCTAGGCAAGCGTTTGCCTGACCTTCATTCTCGGCCCTTGAAAACAATGTTAATAAAGGGCTTACACTTGGCAAATAAGAGGAGCGTTCAGCAGTGTGTCCCATTAAGTTTACATATCTAGCAAGCTGTGGTAGTTTACTATGGAAATGTGGGATAAGCAAACGATAGCATGATGATACTTCCACTGAAAAATACCAAGCTCAGAATATCATCGTCTTAGAGCATTTCTATGCCTTGATAGGCTGGGTAAACTAGGGTGTGGCTCATTGGTACAGGATATGCCGAGCATGTATGAAGTTTGATCACTAGCAATATACAAACACAGAGACACATCCATCCTAGAAGATGGCAAGTGGTTAGCAGTAAAAGTGAATCATGTTTTCTCTTTTTTTCTCTCTCACCTGTGTTCCTATGGCTAGCCTGAAAAATGGAATAAAATTAAGCTAGTGGTCACCCAAGAAGACGTAGAGTTGGCATACCAAGAGGCAATGATGAACATGGCACGGCTCAACAGGACAGGTATGGGGCAAAAGCCATTCTGTTCAGAGCTTAGCAAATATTCTGGGAAAGACCAAGTAACGAATGGGATACTTGAGGTTTCGTTGACTGCATACAATCTTAGTTCACAGTGGTCTGTTTTCCTCAACTCTTCAGTCATACAAAAAGTAAGAAAAGCCAGGCCACAGGAAGAACATTGCTCGTGGCTACACACCTCTTGGTGGCTGCCTTGGTTCCATCGGTGACTACTGGGAATCTATAGGCAGGTGGTATTTAGTTTACAGTTTCATTTATGACAGCTTCCTAGTGCTTTCCACTCTTTAATATGTTCAATCTGTTGATTGAACCCTGTCATAAGTTAAGAGAATCTGTATGTGGCATATTCTCAGTAAAAAGTGTTAGATGTGACTTGTATTAGATAATTTCTCACTGTAATGTCCACATGTGCCTTCCTCCTCCTTCACGCCAGTTGTCAGCGTGCATTTTGGGAACCCCACTAGAGGGTCAGCTGTTCCTGCAGAGGCTCGGGGTTCAGGTCCTAGCCGCCATACAGGGTGATTGGCCTCCAAAAGCACTTGGCATTGTGTGCACATTCATATACAAATACACATTTTCTATGTAGTCTTGGCTGTTCTGGACTCACTGTGTAAACCAGGCTGGCCTTGAACTCACAGAGATCTGCCTGCCTCAGCCTTTCTGAGTGCTAGGATTACAGGCATGTACACCACCAAGCCCAGCCATACATATAATTTTTTTAAAATGAATTATTTTTTAATGAAAAAAAAAAAAACTGCAGTAGCAACAGTTTGCCCTTTCAATTATGAACTTGAGGACTCTTGATTACTTTTCTGTTGCTGTGAGAAAACATGACAGTTTCAGAGTGTGATCTGTTTTGTATCATGGCAGGGAGCATGGTGCTACAGCAGTAGCTGAGAACTTACATCCTTATCCAAAAACAGGAGGCAGTGAATAAGAGCTAATTGGGAATAACATGGGCTTTTGAAACCTCAAGCCTGCTCCCAATGACACATGTCCTTCAACAAGGCCACACCTCCTAATCCTTCCAAACAGTTCCACTTACTGTCACCAAATATGTGACTATATGAGCCTGTGGTAGCCATTACTCATTCTAACCACAACATAGGCTTTACAATAGTTAAAATAGTGGCTCGTTGTATTTGAATGGAGAGATGTAAGCAACCTTATTGCATAATATTTTTATTCATTTGTATATGAAAAAATCATAAGTCAGGTGCTATAAAGTAGTCAAATGTTGCTTTTTCTCTTTCATATATGTGTATGTATGTGTATATGTAGGTAGGTGCATGCATGTATGCAGGTGTATAGAAGCCAAAGGTCAACCTTGAGTGCCCTTCAGCTTGTTTTTTGAGACAGGGTCTCACCGACCTGAAGCTCATGCTTAGGCTAAGCTGTTGGCTGGCCCTGGGTCTCCGCCTGTCTCTACCTCCCTAGCATATGGCACTATGCCCAGGTTTGTTACTTGGATTCTAGGGGTCTAAACCATACTTTACTTGACTAAGTCAAATTCATACTTTCTCCCTGGCCCTAAATATTATTTTAATTGTAGGAGTAGAATAGCTTCTTTTGCCATAGACAAAACCTGTAATTAAGGGGTGTAAATAAAGTTACTCTGAGTAGATTTTACCTCCAGACTTTGGAATATGTAGAGGAAAGACTATTCTAAAGCTAATGTTCATTATAGGAAAGACAAGGCATTTGAAAACTGAATTTAGATATACCATGGAGTGTCATTTGTGTGGTAATGAGAACTTTCCCTTTTCAGGTGTTTGTATTTAGATTTATTGGTCAGATAACACAAAGATGTCCGAGCTACTCATCATGAGCCTCTTGAAATTGGAGCTAAGTTTGTACATTCAGGGTAATGTGTTAGCCGGGGCACTCCTTAGATAGCATGGAGGTAGCATCTCTATCAAATTTCCGTGTCTCCGACTGAGTCTCCACTCTATCTCTTGTACAATATACACTGGAGGACTGCACCCTCCAGCCCTCCCATGCACGCTTTGATCAAGTTACAGCCAAGACTTCCTAGAGGGTGTGGCCTGTTAATAAGCAGGTTACATGTACATTGCAATTGTAAGAATGGCCATGGGAGCTTAGCTGCCTTTCTGTGATAAGAAGAATCAGCCATTACTGGAGAATTACAGCATCCCAAAGACAGTGTCAGGTTTTTTTGTTTTGTTTTGTTTTGTATGTAGCCTTAGCTAAGCTCTAACTTCCGGAGATCAGCCTGCCTCTGTCTCCTAAGGAGTGAAATAACAGGTATGTATTACAGTACCCACTTTATGCGGTGCTGGGGACCACACCCTGTCTTATGCAGGCTGATCTCTTGGAGGCATTTTCTTAATTGGAGTTCCCTCCAGCTTGTGCCAAGTTGACATAAACCAAGCCAGCGTACCAAGGCAGTCACTTGACATAGTTTAATCCTTTTTATGTCTTTATGTGCCTGTATGTGTGAACATATGTGCAGGTGCCCTTGAAGGCTAGAAGAGGGTGTCAGATTCCCTGGAACTAGAATTGCAAGATGTTCTAAGCATGGGTCCTGGGAACCAAACTTGGGTTCTCTAGAAGAGCAAAAAGCACTCTTTAACTGTGTGTCATCTCTCCAGCCCCAGCTTTAAGCCTCTTACACTCTTTTGTTGGTATTCACACCAGTTAAATATTTTATAATTAAGCAGGGGTCTCAAGTCTTTTAAAAACATTACGCAAGCTGAGCATGGTGACACACACCTGTAATCCCAGTACTCAGAGAGGCAGAGGAACTCTGTGAGTTCCAGGCCATCCTGGAGGCCTACAAACAAGTCCAGTACAGCCAACACTACACAGAGAAACCCTGTCTTGAAAAATACCAAAACAACAACAAAACCCTAAGCACTATTTCTGGAGTTTGTTTTTAGTTTTTTATGCACTGCTCCTCTCCCCTGACCCAATCACCATCACTGTGACCTGTGAATACGGGTGTGTGTGGGTGCTGTGGAACTTACGTGAAAATCAGAGGGCCATCCTGTTGGTCCTCACCTTCCACCTGTGTGAGACAGGTCCCATGTTCGCTGCTGTGTGCCAGATCTGTGAGCTTCTGGGAACTGTCTCACTTTAGGAGTACTAGAAATGCAGATGCTCCATAGGGCTGTGTCCTCCGGGAGCCTGAATTCAGGGCCTTATGCTTGCATGGCAAGTGCTTTACCTACTGAGCCATTTCTCCAGCTACTAATGTCTTAATTTGCTATGTAGAGATTTGCAACAACTGTCAGTAGAGGAGATATGGGCCCTTCAGCAAAGGGTGCTGGAACAAGTAAACATGCAAAACCAAAAACAGTCTTGGCACAGACCTTTCACAAACGTTAATTCAGCTTATAACAGGAACACCCAAGTCTTTCACAAATACATATTTTACCAAGCCAGCTGCCCAGCAGGCTGATGAAAGAGGGTCATAGGTCAAGGCATGCCTGGGTGTAAAGTAAGTTAATTGCCAACCTGGGCAGAGTGGTGAGGCCCTGTCTCAGAAACCTGGAAGGAAAAAAACAGGAGATGGAATTTTATGCTTCTGATAGAGGTTTTTTGTTACTGCTTTTGTTGTTTTAATTTTCAGTACAATGTATTGTTATCACATTTGTTCCCTTCTCTAGAAAAGCTTTAAAAACTAACACAGCTCAATAGAGAAATATCAACCCCTAGTTAAAGTCTCTAGTCTCCCTGATTCCTATTGGAATGTGTTTACTTTCTTTTTAAAAAACCTTTGTGAGTTTGCTTTGGGATATTTTTACCTATTGCCCTACTGTAATAAATCTGTCTTTAATGGAAATTGTTTTAGGAAATGCTATTACGATTTCACAAAATACTTGATTCAGCTCTTCACAGAAGAGGGAAGCAGCTAGAGAAAAACCTAACAGTTGTGGCGGTTCTGACACACAGTCCCTGAGCCCCTGCACACAGCGCTTGCTAGCACTGCCTGGGAGTTGTAGCAGCGGGTGACCTGAATGTCTGATTAAGCTAAGTCTTAGCGCACAGCAGTTACACAGATCTCATGTTCATGTATCAGAGTGCAGTGACGTGTGCTCCTGTTGAAACAGAGATGTAAAGATAGTGGTGGAGAGAGTCTATTTTTCTCATGTGTCTCATTTGTTTAGAGCATAAAATATCTTTTGATAAAAATTGTAACTGAATAAGGGCAAATGAATATTGTAACTGAAATATCTTTGCTATGCTTCTTTAAAAAAACAGCTGTTGCAAATTATATTGTTTCTGATTACACAGAACTTTGTGGTTATTTTTAAATCAGTTTTATATATTTTTTAAATCAACAACAAAAAAGCACAGAAGAAAATTGTACATAGTTGTCCACCCCAAAACAGCTTCCATTTGCATTGTTACATATTCCTCCATGGCTTTAAATGTTGTCCTAGACCAGCGGTCATTATAAGCACACATGCTCTTACTCCTGTATCCTACTGCTGATTTGTCTGTCATTATCTGCGCTAGCACACACAATTCTGAAGGACCGAATAATGGCCTACTAAAAAGACCTTGGAACAATCTATTTTAAAATGAAACTTCTCGTTTTCCTTACTAAGAAAATAAGAGCTGTGCCACTGTACTCACACTGACATCTGGCCCTAGGTCAAAGCCAAACCAGCGGGGCAAACAGGCTGCTCAGCAGATGGTGCTGGAACAACTGGACATCATATGCAAAAACAAACAAAAGATCTTTGTCCTTCAAAAAAGCTATAAATCGGAATATACCAGAGAACTACAGGCCCCCAAGAGCGTAACACAGAACAAAGTTTACCCCATAGTGGGTTTAGAGATGCCTGCTTACATAAACAGAAGTCTTAGACTAGGGAAAGATGGATGTTAGATGTTGAGATAAAGTTGTTTTGTACACAAAGGCTAAGGTGATGAAAGATCTTGGGAAGTAGCTCAGTGGAGAATGTGCTTGTCCATAGTCATGAGGTCTTGGGCTCCAGTCCCTGGGCCCACATGGCTGGGAGGCAAAGGTAGATAGGTTCCTGCCAGCCAATCTATTCTAACCAGTGAGCCTCAGGTCTCAGTATCTCAAAAAACCAAGTGAAGGGCTAGAGAGATGGCTCAGCACTTAAGAGTACTGGCTGCTCTTAGAGAGGAATTGGGTTCCGTTCCCAGCACTGCCTCATGGCAGCTCACAGCTCTCTAACTCCAGCCCCAGAGCATCAGATGCCCTCTTCAGGCCTCCATGGGCACCAGGCACACAAATGCACATTAAAATACACATTTCACCCATACACATTAAAGTAATAAAATATTCTTAAAAATCAAAAAGCAAGGTGGATGTCACCTGAACAGCAACACCCGCAGTTGCTTCTGCTCGCCACATTTACACACGTCACATACATATATGCACAGAAGAAAGGCCAAGGCACAGAGTGGGAGAAAATCTTTGTAAAACACATTGCTGACAGTGGTCTGATGACCAGAATTCATGACAAATTCTTAAAGCTCAGAAATAAGAAAACAGTTTTTAAAAAAATAAGTTCTGAACTGACACCACATGAGAGATGTCCTGGCAATAAGATATCCAGAGATGCCTGGGATGATTGTGCTGAGAGAACCACACACTAAAACAGTGAGGCCCTCTACACATCGGTCAAACTGCAGGCACCAGCAACACCAGATGCTGACAGGAGTGAGGAGCCACGGGAACTCTTGTTCATTTGTGGTGGAAATGTAAACTACAGACCCACTTTTCAGCAGACTTGGGCTGCTTGTTGGAGCACTAATGTTATTTCTAGCCGTATGCTCTAACAGTGGTGCCCCTGACTGTTTACCCCAAAGGAATAGTCCACAGAAATCTGCACATACTGTTCATGGTGCCAAGTATAGTCACAGTCAAGACAGTTGCCCAGTAGGTGAACAGATAAAATGGAACATCTAGGTGGTGAAATATTACTGAACCATTTTCAAAGGGGAGTCTGTCAAGCATGAAAGAGCCTGGGAAAGCTTACTGCATACTGCTAAGTGAAAGAAGCCAGTCTAAAAAAAAAACATGACCTTCCTGAAAAGGCAAAGCATGGAGACAATAAAAAGATGAGTGGCTTCCAGGGCTGGGAAGGGAAGAAAGGATAGTAAAAGAGGCCCACGAGGCCAGAGCAGTGACACTACTTCTCATGATGCATGTCACTACACATTAATAAACATATGGGGAGTCTTCATGGATCCTAGTTGACGTTAAAATACAAGTTTGACTCATCAAACACACTAATGCAAAATGTTCCCATAGGCCATATCGGAGCCTGGCATGACATTTTCAGGTTTTGGTTTTTGTTTGTTTGTTTTTAAACCTGATCAGTGTTCTTTTTTCCTAATGCTGCTCTGAATAAAAAACAAACAAACAAACAAAAAAACACCTGAAGGCCTGATAAGGTACATGCCTGTAATCTCAACACTTGGGAGGTGAGACTTTTGAGTCAGTCGGGCATTCTTTAAACATGTCAGTAGACTGTAGGTTGGTTTTGATAGGTTTCCTTCAGAGGAGACTTAATTCCTCTCTATGGCTTTTTCTCTTACTAGGAAATTGGCCTTGGTGGAACTGCTCCTGGGTTCCATGTGGCTGAGTGGCGTGAACTATAGTGAGCTCAGCTTCCAGCACTTGACCCTAGTCTCTGTTGACTTCCTAACACTGCTTTCTTATGCAAGGTCTCCATGTGGAGATTTTGAGTGGGGAAAAGGTGGGTTTTTCTCAAGACACTCTTCTGCCTCTCTCAGCTGCAGGCCTCATGCACACGTTCAATGCTCACGCAGCCACTGACATCACAGGCTTCGGGATTCTGGGCCATGCACAGAACCTAGCCAAGCAACAGAGGAACGAGGTGTCGTTTGTGATTCACAACCTTCCTGTACTAGCCAAGATGGCGGCTGTGAGCAAAGCCTGTGGAAACATGTTCGGTCTCATGCATGGGACCTGCCCGGAGACATCAGGTACAAGGATTCTGTTCTCTGATCTGAGGGTTCAACTCAGTGAAGCTAAGAAAGCGGTAGCCTTGGGCACCTGTGAGTCCCCACTTTGTATGAGGTCAGGCCTGAGAGCCACGCCTGCCCCTGCTTTGAGTTTGCAGTCCCCTCCAGTGTGACCGAAATGCAGTTTTGAGTTGAGTGTACCTGCGTTCTCCCTTTTGGTATAGTGGTGTGGAAGATGGGAGCTCAGAAACGGTAGGTCATATCAGGCCGGGTAGAGCCCACAGAACCCTCTACCAGGATGCAGCAGCCTCTGCTTGCTGTTCTAAACAAGGTAGTTGAACCCTTTTAGCTGCCGGCTGGCCAGAGCATTATCTGCCTCCTACTGGGCCCGAGAGAGCATCACATGAGTTGGGGACCACAGTCACTTGGTTTGGTTCCTTTGTTTTCTAAGATAGAATGCACTCTAAGATTTTTCCCTGGTTACTTAGAAACTCAAACTTTCTGATCTGCCTGCTAGAAACAGGAAGGAAAGTTGGTATTTTTGTTTGTTTTGCAGTAAGTTAAGAGTCAAGACTAGTGCCTAGATATCTTAAAAAGAGTCTCTCATGAGTCTTAAGTTAAAAAAAAAAGTTTGGAAAGTATCATTCTTTGTGAGCTGAGGAATGCGTGCAGGGGAGTACCCTGAAAGGAGCTCTTCTCGTTTGCCTCTTCTAGCATGGAAGAGAAGGTCGCTGCCCTGTGTGATTCTGGCCCCACACACCTTTCTCTTCTGCTTATGTTTCCATAGTGAGGAACAGAAGGTTGCCGTCCTCTGTGATTCCGACAGGTCATTTTCCATTTGAAATTAGCTTCGTTGTCGGTGTTTCATTGTAGGAGTTTACCAACAGATGGCTTTACTGTCTCCAAAGTAGAGCCACCTCTCGGTGTTAGTAAGCTTTGGTGGAGGCACAGAAAGCCGTCTGCTCTCACAGTGCCACACAAACAGAAACAGTAACCTCTTCTCTTTCTCTGCCAGGAGGCCTGCTAATCTGTCTACCGCGTGAGCAAGCAGCTCGGTTCTGTGCGGAGATAAAGTCCCCCAAATACGGCGAAGGCCACCAAGCATGGATTATTGGGATTGTAGAGAAGGGCAACCGCACAGCCAGAATCATCGACAAACCTCGGATTATCGAAGTTGCGCCCCAAGTGGCCACGCAAAACGTGAATCCCACACCTGGGGCCACCTCCTAGTCTAGACAGAAATAGCTATCTGATTTTGTGTTTAAATAGATCTATTTCCTTTATCATCACTTCAATTAAAGACTCTAAGAACAACACAAATCTCCTTGTGTCTACACATCTGGTGACCTTAGGTCGGTCTGTGAGTGGATGCAATTAATAAAATGAAATCCATGGCCTTCTTTTCCTGTTACATTAACCGAAGATGCACCCAACCTTGAGGCAGCTTCTGAGTTGAGAATGATATTGTTATCCAATACTGTTGATTCATTTTGAATCTTTAGATGCGTATCTCTTGCCGCGTAGGCGCTTTCTAAAGGTGCTTTTTTGCCACACAGGCGTTACTGAGAGGATGTCACCTAGCAGTGTGTGTCTTCTCATTTTCTGTTTATCCTATCAGTCTGTCCTTTTTTTAAGTGTCTCAGTTGACATTCTAGAAAGACAGAATTGGTAAGTGACATGATGGTCTCCCAGTACTCAGAGGGTTGCATGATTCCTTCGACCTTTTGGTTTGTAAAGCTGAGTCTAATAACTCAGGGCATTTCTTTGCCCCAGGACACTCTCCAGTAGCTCACTCAGTTCAGTAAGGCAGGTGCTTTACTCTGCATGGAAAGCACTCAGAATAAAAAAGGAAACATTCTTTTTTAAAAAAACAAACAAAGCTTTCCTGGTACTTGCAGTAATACCATTAACGGTTTTCCTTGCCAATAGGAAAAAGGATACTTTTTGCAATGTAATTAGATGTTCTATAGTGCGACAAGGAACTGCCTTCAGATAGGGGAGTTCATGTATAATACTCATTTATAATTCAATATCTAATTTACTTTGCAAATAATTTTTAAATATAATCAATAATAAAGACTGTTCTGTGGATGGTAGTATAGTGTTTAATACATTTTCTATTTTGTATAGTGATTTCAGGCCTCTTGTTTTAAATCAGCAGCTATTTAGCCTAATTCTTAGCATCATTTTGTCTTTGCGCCCATACTTTTTTGTGCACGCATTTTGTGATTTGTGTTAAAAAAAAAAAAAACCTTCCTTGCCAACATTGCAGCTCAAACTTAAAAGTTGTTATTCAAATAAATATTTAATTTTTTTAATTGCTCTTGTATAATCAGATGCCCTTTTTAGTATTATTTTAGAAGCATTTGGGAGGCTTTTGCCTAAAATACAATTTATTGGGGAAACTAGATTTTAGTTTTATAAACTTTTAAGTCTTTCATGCGACCTATATTTTCTTGAATTAAATTTTGTAGTTCTAGAACAAATAGGCAATCTACAAAGGTGTTATCTGTGTTTCTTAAAAACAGAGGCTTCCTTATCTTTCAGACTGTTAAGCAGCTGGGGGATTCCCGTCTTTAAGCACAAGGGCACTGGGTCCTCAGGCACCTGGCTTCAAAAGAAAAGCAGCACATCTTCAGGTTTCGCCATGCTTCCTGCTAACAGGCCCCAAAGCTGTGCTTTATAAACTCGGCCAACTTCACTCCTCAACACACAAAACCAGGGAACTGCCACTGGGCTGACGGAACCCCTGGAAGGAAGAGGCTGCAGCGTGGCTGTGTCCCTCAGGAGCCCCAGGACCTCCTGGATGCACCTGCAGCTGGAACTGAAGCCACTGAGCCTGGCCCCGAGCGGAGGACGCTGTCACAAAAGGACACTGACTGGACACTTTGTAGGAATCTAGACGATGTTGGCCCTCGAAAGTGCACACCCATGGTCTGCAAAATAAAATGTGTTGGAACCCTCTGAGTGCAGAAAGCATACTGTTGGGCTTGCTTCTGTCTTGTTTTTTCTTAAATAGTAGGTGAAGTAGGACCTTATTCTGTGTACGGTCCATCCCCACAGCTGGTATTTTTTTGGTAGAAACCCTGTTGAGAGGAAGTTAGATTGTTCATGTCCTGAACAAATGATGAATGATTCATATGAGGAGAAAATTCCAGGGACTTGGAGGTCCATGGATCCATGATCTAGAAAAAGCCCTTGTCTTGACTAGTGTTCAGAGTGCTCAGAAACCCTGGGCTTTGTCCACATTCCTGCCCCTTCCCCAGACCCACAGTCAGTATTTCTTGCTGTGGAACCAGGTAATCTGTCCTCAAAGTGTGCCGTTTAGGGCTTTGCATATTAAAGCTCGAGAACCACTGATCTCAAAAGGAACAGTGAGCTGGGTAAAAAGTGGGGCTGTGGGGATGGCTTTCTTAGCCTTTTGTTTGTTTGTTTGTTTGTTTGTTTGTTTGTTTTTAATTTCCCGTGCCTGACCTGTGGTTCAGCATCAGGGTGTGTGTGTTACTAAGTATTAATTCTCATATAAACAGTTTTGGCAAAGGAGTATCCAAGTTGAGCAGGCTATTCCCACAGACTGGGTTGAAGCAATAACATTCTTGTTCTTTTTGGCTCGGTATTTTGCAATATTGAAGTCTTCCAAATTCTGCATGCCTTGTGATGAATAAGTGGAAGTACTCATGAGTACTCATGAAGGAGCCCCTTGCATCAGCATTGCCTTTAAAAGTGTCCTGTTCGGCTCTGGGGGCATGGCTCCATATGTGCTTCCTGCCTGATGAGCCTGAGTTCCATCCCTCCTCTGGACGCATGTGAAAGGGCAAGAAAACCCGACCTCCATGTGACGTGTGCTCCTGCACTAAACAATAAACACACTTAAAATAGCTTTAGGTGTCACTGTTATATATCTTCATTTTATTCTGTAGAGACAGAAATAATAGGTAGATTTTCACTTTGAGAGATGATTAGCACAGCATAGGTGTCTGAGAGACCTGATGATAAAATGATTGCACACGAACCACACTCATTTCCACATCTGATCAGGCGGTCACAGACAACATACCCTGCTGCTTACAGCCACGCTAAGAATCCCCATAAGAATCGTGAGACAGGAGACCACAGGGAAACCCCAGAGCCCTGTTGCTGGTGGACTCTGCTTCTCCAAGCGCTGCCTCGCCTTTGTGAGAATTCTGTGTTAGATGAGAACAGGGCTGGATGGGCTAGAACAGTCCTGAAGCAAGTAAGATGGGCAGCATTTCCAGCCATCCAGGCATGGTCAAGAGCCATTGGAAGCCAAACTTGCAGGGCAAGAGAGTGATTGTGGTTTGCTCATCATGGGGCAATTAGGTCTTGACACGTCTCTGTAAGGTTTCATATCATTGATAGTCCTCAAATATCAACACTGTTGATGTTAATTGTCCTGGCTAGGTCATGCTGCCTTTTAAAGGAGTTTAATGCTCAGGGGAACTGCATGTAATAAAGCCCATAAAACTGTGGAGCTGGACTTGGAACATGGCTGTAATCCCACATACACAGGAGGCTGAGGAAAGAGGACCAGACATTCAAAGTCTGCCCGGGCAGCCTAACGAGATCTGCTTTGCTCGCCTCCAGCCCAAAGGAGAAGAAAGTCAGAGGGTAGCTCAGGGGTAGAGCACTTGCCTAGCATTCACAAGGCCCCAGATTTAGTCCACAGTACTGGGAAAAACCAAACTCTCATGGAAATTAAATTCACTAGTTTACTGTAATCATGGTGTGATTATGAAAAAAAGACTGATGTAGCTTCCATTATTGTGTTTCAGGAATAAAAACATGTACATGGAAATATGTAGAATGTAATGTCATCCAGGCTTATTTTGCATAGTTTTAAAGCAAAAGTTATATAAAATTTGATGTTTGGGATATATTCCTGGGTTTGGGTCCACTTTGAGAAATAAAAACAACAACAATACTTTGAAACTTTATGTCTCTGTTTACTAAATGCTAATTTTTGTTTGTAGTACAGTCAGCAATTTAAAAATCAGAAATGCATGCATACCTCTCAAATGTTAGCATAATACAACTTAGCTGGGCAGTTTAAAAAGTGTAAAATTCATGACCTTCATCCATCTGCAAGTCCATTCAGTCTAGCGAGTCTGCTTCCAATGTTTTGCAGCACTTAGAGAGTCCTGGCAACTCTGGAAATGAAACATACACACACACAAATTTTATAAAGAAATAAAAACAAAACAAGTAGCCATGTCCTGCCTGCTGGTGCACACCTTTAATCCCAGCACTTGGGAGGCAGAGGCAGGTGGATCTCTAAGTTTGAGGCCAGCCTGGTCTGCAGAGTGAGTTCCAGGAGAGCCAAGGCTACATATCTATCTCAAAAAACTAAACCAAACAAACAAAAAACAGAACCAGTACTCCTGGAAATGTTCATTTGTCAGAGTTTTGCCACCTTTCCTTCTGCTATATATAAACTAGCAACTGTATGCATGCATACATAATCATTTGCAAGTACTTGCATAAGTGAATTGCTACTGTGAATTGCTAGTCAGTGGGAGTGGGTAGAAATTCACTGGTATTTTCAGTTACATTTTTTTATTCAGGTATTCAGATTGTCCTGCTCCTAGCTATGCTGTTCCCAAGGCAGTGATCCTGGCCTATGTAAGTAAGCTAAGGATAAGCCAGAGAATGACTGAGCACACCCTGCTCTCCCATGGTGCCTGCCTTGACCTCCCTCACTGATGACTGTGACAGAAGTGGAAGCTGAAACAAACCCTTCCCCTCCCCAAGTTACTTTCGTCTGTGGTGTTTACCACAGCAAGAGTACGCTAGAACAGGCCCAGCAAACTAGCTACTGACAAGCTGGGGGCCAAGTACTTGGCAGTCTCAAAGGTGAAAATATTCTCCTCCTGAGAAAATGCTTTCCCCCTACTTTCAGCCATGCAGGCACTCTGAGGCCGTTGTACCCACAGTACCAAGGTATTTGGCTACAACTCAATAAAACTTTACCGTCGTTCATATAATGGTTTTGCAACGTGCAGAATCATCTTGGATTGTTAAGACAGAACAGCTTTCAACTAGATTTCTTTTCTTGTTTGTTTTTTGGTTTTAGTTTTGGTTTTTCAAGAGAGATTTTTTCTGTGTAGCCTTGACTGTCCTGGAACTCATTCTGTAGACCAGGCTGGCCTTGAACTCACAAAGATCTGCCTACCTCTTGCCTCAGGAGTACTGGGATTAAAGGTGTGTACCACCACCGCCCAGGTCCAACTAGATTTCAAAGAAAGGCCTGGGAGGCCTGAAACGTACATCAGGGTCAGAATCAGTCACTCTAGGCAGTTTCGAAGGGTGACGATTGAAACTGAGATGGAAGTTGAAGCTTCAGTGGAGATCGAAAGGAAAGCTGCCAGCAGGGAGTAGAGCCAGCCTGGGAGAGGAGCCATGTGGGGTGCTAGCAGCAAGGCTGCTGTTCAAGCCTTTTGGAGGTTCCACCATGACTGCCCATGCTCCAGTGCAGGACTCTAGCTGGGTTGAATGTTTGTCCTGCTGAAGGTTGATCCTGATTTGGTCTGACCATTCCTTGCTATTTTCCTAATCCGTTTAGACTAGATCTACATACAATTAAAAATCAAAATATTTTAATTTTTTTTTGAAGATTTTTTTTTTTTTAAAGTAGTTCTTAGCCTACCACGGGCGGAATGCCAGAACTGGTTGATGTTCGGCAAAGTATCCACTGAACATGGTTAGTGGCCAAGCACTCTGGGGCTTAGGGGATCCAACAGCAGCTGGAGACTAGGTATTCAGCCACATGAGGCTATGGGGGCATTCCACATTCCAACCACGACCACCGCCACACTGGTGTTTTGGCTGTGGAACTTACTGCTGATGCTGCACTACTCTAAAGTTTTGCAGCAGGAGTACTGTGGACTTGTATCTGAGCCTAATGCCCACGTCTCTCATCCAACTGCAACAAAGTCCCAGGTGCCAGCGCAACTTGTCGGGTGCCTGGCGCTGCTTAGGATGACATGAGTCCTGGAGATTTGCAGACTTATCCATCTGTTGTCCTGACTGCAGATCTGGGTCTATCAGAGTCCATTCCTGAGCAGCTCATACTTGGAGAGACACACATGAGTTTATGGAGTGCAGCTTAAATGATCTGGTTTGCTAGAGATTGTTTGCCATAACAGACGATTCCTATAGGACCAAGCTATGAAGAATATGTCCATTAGGATTCTCGGTAAGGATCTGGTATTTTCAACCTATGGAGATAGTGTGTCCAGCTCTGGACAGATTTCTGCCCCACCCCCCAACCCCTTTTGAGTTAAGTTTTCACTGAGGTGGAGACTGGCCTCGGCTCCTGTCTGCTTCCCAGTGTTGGGATGTATTATTCTGTCTGTTTCCTCTCTCTCTCTCCTTCATTTTTTTGAGTCAGGATTTCTCTGTGTAGACCTGAAACTCTCTCTGTAGACTAGGCTGGCCTCGAACTCACAAGAGATCTGCCTGCCTCTGCCTTCCACGTGCTGCGATTAAAGACCTGCAACATCACCACCACCTGGCTTGGGCTGTAGTTTTTTCAGTCACAAAATCCTGGGTCATTAAATATGTGTGTGAGAATGTGTGTTTAATTATTCCTTTAAGACAGGATATTGCTATGCATCTCTAGTCAACCTTGAACTCACTGTGCAGATCAGGATGGCCTCGAGTGTGTCGCCACCTTCCTGTCTCCACCTCTTGAGAACTGAGACTACAGGGGTGAACCTGCACCCCAGGCACATATGCATTTGTATATACTGAACAATGCGAGTTAACATGGCTAACTCCAAGAAGAAAGCACACACAGCGGGCCATGAAGGTAAGAGATTTTTCCGGTGGCACTGGCAGGCCCTTTCTTCTTTGTATTTACAAGCAGCTTAGAAGGCACAACTGGGGTTGGGGGTGGGGAGCTCAAGTGTATGGTATTTGCCTACTACTCATGAGACCCTGGTTTGAATTGATCCCTGGTACCACAGAAAAGGTAAAATAATAATAATAAGGCTAATTAATTCAAGCCAGAAACAAAAGCCTTGCCAGAATTACAGCAGACAGGCCCTCTGGTTTCATTCTCCTGCCTCTGGTATGCTATCCCCTGTTTTTTTTTTTTTTTTTTTTTTTTTTTTTTTTGTTGTTTGTTTTTGGTTTTTGTTTTGTTTTGTTTTTGTTCTGGTTTTAGTTTTTGGTTTTGTTTTTTTTTGAGACAAGGTTTCTCTGTCTACCCTTGGCTATCGTGGACTTGCTTTGTAGACCCAGCTGGCCTCAAACTCACAATGATCTGCTTGCCTCTTCCTCCCAAGTGCTGGGATTAAAGGCGTGTGCCACTATGCCTGTCTTTCAACTGATTTTCATGGGACAGAACCTGAGACTGTGATTCAGGTCTTCAGATAAAGTAGTAAATGTGAAGTGTGAGTGTCTGGATCATCTCTTTCCCTATATTCTTCCTCTGCTACAGAATACTGTAGCTCAGTGGCTGTCATTAAGATGAGTGGGTTGGGTGCTGGAGGGATGGCTCAGGGGTCAAGAATATGTTCTGCTCTTGCAGAGAACTTGAGTTCAGTTTCCAGCACCCCCTTTAGGTGGCTCCCACTCACCTGTAACTGGAGTTCTAAGGAATCTGACACCTATGGCCTCTGTGGACACCAGTACTCACACAAACATACCGTCACACAGATGGGAGTGGGACAAAGGGCGCGTCACAGTCACTTTGGGGATACTTTTCAGTGAGTCAATTTCATGCAGTAGCCTAAATGCAAGAGCCTGGGGTGAATGTGTTCCTTACTTTTCTATTGTTCGTACCAGATATTCTAACAGACTAACTTAAAGGTGGACAAACTTATTCGGCTCCTGTGGTTGCTTGGTCTCATGCTCTTGGACAGAGTATCATGGTGGTGGCAGCTTGTGGTGAAAGATGTTCTTCACTTCTTGGCAGACCAGAGGTAGAGAGCAGGACAGGGAGGGACCAGGGACAGTGGCACTATTGAAGTGGGTGTGGACTTGTTGGAGGAAGCGTGTCACTGTGGAGGTAGTCTTTGAAGTCTCTTATGCTCAAGCTATATCCAGTGTAGCAGTCTCTTTTGCATCGAGATGAGGAACCCTCGGTTCCTCCAGCACCAAGTCTGCTTGCACACTACTGTAATTCCCTCCATGATTACAATGGAGCAAACCTCTGAAACTGAAAGGCAGCCACAAATTAAATGTTTTCCTTTATAAGAGTTCATCGTGTCTCTTCACAGCAATAAAACCCTACTAAGACAGAGAGTACACCCCCAACAGCTCACCCCCAGTGGCCTCCTTGCCCCAGCTAGCCCCACCGCTGTTTCCACAGCCTCCCAGTACAGCACCCTTCTGAGGATGAAGCATTGAAATCCTGAGTCGGAAGCTGGATGCGATGGTGCATGCCTGCAGTCTCAGGACTTGGGAGGTGGAAGCTGAAAAATCAAGAATTCAGTCATCTTCACTCTCACAGTGAGTTCAAGACCAGCCTGAGCTACATGAAGCTCTTGTCTCAAAACGGGTGGAGGGAGAGAGGTGGCTCAGTGGCTAAGAGCACTGTTACTCTTGTGGAGGATTCAGATTCCCAGCACCTACATGGTAAGTAACAACTGTTTGAAACTCCAGTTCCAGAAGATCCCCACGATCACTTCTGGCCTTGCGTGTACACAGACATACACGCTGGCAAAACACTCACAAACATAAAAAATAAAAATAAATTTAAAACAACCAAACAAACAAAATGCCACAAACCTGTGACATTGCTTTTAAGCCCCTTGATCACATCTGTGAAGACCTGTTTTTCCAAATAAGCTCACATTTGCCCTTCCTGGGTCCTGTGGCGTGAACACGAGCTTCAGGAGGGTTGGCATCTTTTGTGCAGCAAGGTTAGAAATTCTTCTTTTAGCTGTGTATATGGCAGACTCAGGAGGCAGAGGCAGGAGGAACTC